CTTCGTACCGTTCCGACTCCTTTGTCTGTGGCACGAAATTTCAATAAATTATGCAAAAATTTTCGTGGTTTTCGCGCTTTTCTCTCGGTTGTTTCTCTTCCTTTATGCAACACTTTACTGGCCGTTTTATTCAAATTTGTGTGCATTTTTTATTTTCTAGGAAAACAAAATTTTACGCGCAACGATTTTTGGTTTTGAAGAGATGCAGAGAATATCAACCCTTTTCAGAGCCAACACAGCATCCAGCTGCTTGAATTAATCCCCTTTTGAACGATCCTCGGCTATCTTTGTCTACCGATATTGTATGCTCAGGTAAGCGATATATGTATACACACATGAGGCTCATGCGTATGCAAATAAGTTTGATTAAAAATTTAAATGAGGTCCCTTTCAGAAGATACCTTTTTTGTTAGAAAGGGAGGAAGGATTGACAGCTGCGTTTTGAGTTCTCGAATTTGTATATCTTAGGTTTCAGCTTAATTTAATGCACCTTTTGAACTCGAAGGGACCAAGCGCAAAACAGCTCATAGGACAAATTGATGAAATTCATGAAACACGTTTTTATTCAGCGTAGAAAACATTAAAAACTTTTCTAGCAACTTATAGTTAAAAATTGCAATATCAAACGAAAAGTTCTACATAGTTGACTTGAAGTACAGATCTGTTCCTCGCACATGCACCAATTTCAATTTTTCACTGTTACTCAGATAACTGTGATTCTACTGATCACAGCTTCGTAACTAGAATGAAATTACTACCAGAACGTAGGCACAATATCGCCCTCTCCACAATGTGAGCATCTACAGCTTGCGCTTGAATGGTGCCATGTACTTGGTTAGCTCGCTGAGCAGCAGCCGCAGTACAAATGATTATGTTTATAGTATTAAAGTAATTTACTAAAAAATGACGCCCGACCAAAACAAGATAATCCGCAGTTAACTCTCCCTCTCCCGCCCAGCAAGAGTTGATCGTCAAAGTCAACCGCTTTAGCTTGGGGTTAAGTAGCTTGCTGTCTACTTAACCATAATCGAAGTATGGCACAGCGAATAGGCGATCAAACGACGATTTCGATCTTTTCTGCCTGCCGATCTGCCGATCGCTGGCTTTATCACAACATTTTGCAAGAAGATGGATAAGTGTGGTCAAGTGCAGCCTGACCGGTGCAGGGGCTCCATGATCGGTTTCCACTCCCTGGCTGCGCTGGTAGCCAAGGTGCGAGATCTGCAAATAATGTGGCCAACTCCACCGCAGCTGCATCTGGTCCTGATCCGTTGGCTGGAGGCGGCGAGGCCAAAGTAGAGGCCATGTGTGCTGCCTCGTTGGCTTGGAGCTTTGCGATCGTTAACTGGATTCGCCTCCGCCGCACCCGGTTAGATACAGCTTTATTAACCCCTGTCGCTGATTTGGTGATAACGATCGTAATCGTACCGGTACTCTAAGTACAACACATGTTGCACTTTCCACGACTCTCGTTCAGCGCGCTGTCTGCTATATTATTTTTCCCAATTTAGAAAATTGTTTTCCCTACTCAAATCAGTATGATTCAATATTCGCCTTTATCGAACGAAATTGTTAAATTTTCGAGTCTTCAGTCAAAGTTCGAACAGAAATTGCAACTGACGCAGCTCAGTGTGGTGTTTTTCGCGAGAGATCGATTGACTAAGCTCTGGTCTATGGAACCACTTAAAGGCCCCGCTGCCAAAACAAAGTCTGCTTCTGAGGGTACAAGCACTGGGTTTTTCGGACATATGGGTTATTTATTTAAATCCAGATCGCTATTTTCAGCGTAAAATAATCAGTATTATGCTCAAAATAATGAAAATAGTGGTCCAAATACCATACCATATATGGTATACGTATACGTTCAGCTCGTAATCAAATTCATAAGCGATTGGCATTTAACCAGAACATTTTTATTTAGCCATTTTTCGCTAAAAATTGAGAAATCTGGTCAAAATATTATATTTGTTAACTCATCCGGAAAGTGACAGGAATTAGTATATTGAGCTCTAAGCTGTACCAAACACTGCGTCTTTTAAGTGTGGCAATCTTTCGAAAAATTACAGCAAACATATCGCTATATTCAGCGCAAAGTAATTACAACTTTTGAACAAAATTTGATAAAAATTTTCCGTTTTGCATCACGTTTTAAAAAAAAAAAATAGTCATAAATTAAAGTTTTCAGGTTTGAATGCCCATGAATTAGCAATTTAATTACAGGCGGGTCCTATATGGATATGACTAGAAGTGTATCTCCAAGAAGATACTTTGATAAGTTTTTCATATGACATAAATAATTAAAATAAAGGAAAATGTTTTATACTGTTTGCTGCTGGGTTATTGGCTGTGCTTAATTGATGCTTCTGTAGCAACACAACTACTTTGTTTTATATATGTAAACCACACAGAGGCTATCAAAACAATAAATACAAATGTTTATTAAATCCATACTCATAAATATGCATGGGGTATAAGGGTATTCTGACAATTCGAACATAAAACTGGGGTCTTCTAATTACGCCAAAGAAAGGGGTTCAGTCATCAAGCATTGGGCTATACATAGACATTTGCCGAAATAAATTCTCTTCGATTTCATTCATTCTTCTAACGAAAAAAAATTAAGTGGCATAAATATGCATGAGAAACCTTTTGAAGTAAACGGACGTATATATATGAAGTGAAATGTTCCCTTATTTGGCATTTACCCCAATGGAGAAAGTTGCACCTGAAAGCTGTCTGCACAGTTGCCGGGTCTAACCAAATACGAACTTTATTTAATGAGTAGCACAGTATTAACGGAAAAAGGATTACAACTAAGAGACAACTGCCAGGCTTCATTGGATAGCATTTCCATGTATATAACTTTGTGGTTCATTGATTAAAATCAAACTGTTTATTAAGGGTAGAAAGGTGCCCCTGCCTAAAAATATATATATGCGACTTATTGATCAGGAAGTCTTCCTGTATTTGGTAATTATGTTTTTCTGTGCTCTGGTGGTGTGTCACTCTCATTAAAGTATAAACATGAGTTCCCATTTGTTTCTACCTTTAAATGGTAGCGTATGTTCCATAGCTTGACTTTTCCGAACCTTTATCAATCGCCATGTATCATTTGTTCGTTCCTCTTTCGTTATGCCGCAGCTCCTGTGGGCTGAGTAGAAAAATGATTTTAATTTTAGATTAGTTAAATAAAAATAACAAGAAGTCCTTGCCTTTTTCCCATCAAACACATCATTGTTGTATTGACAGGCATGTCAATATGGCTTAATATTTGGCTTGCATGGCTCTGGTTACTTAATTTAAAAGACACCCAACGATTATTGGTTTGAAATTGCTTAGAACACGCGAATACGTTTTTGCAGTTTTTTCTGCGAATGTTTTGTGTATTTACACGGCTGAGTAAATAGGTAGGCGTTGATCCAGAAAATACCGTTTTTATCGTTTAATGTCAGGGGCATAGGAGGAGTTGTTCCTATAACATAATATGACGGCATATGACTAATATCTACATTCACAAAGTCAAGCAAGCAACCACTTAGCAACACTTTGGTGTCATATGTCTGTTTTTCACAAGACCTCCAGTAGAATTCAATGTAGCCCGAAGCACAGGTCCATTAATCTCTTACCCACCAGTACTCGCCACCATTGCTCAGTCACATGCAATTTTGAGCTACTTGTTGCTGCTTTCGGAGATGCTAATGCAGCGACTGATGCTGCTAAATAGTCGGTGAGAGGGATAAACCCGCAACCTTACCTTCTGTGATGCGATTTGCATAGCCTTTAGGTTGCCAAGATGGCATTGCATATTAATATATTTTAGCCGCAAATACGCGCTTTTCTCTTATGCCTTGTTCGGTTTCACATCTCTTATCCAAGTCATTTGTGCCGCGGTAGTCCTCAGTAGCTTGTCGGTCCTAAGGAATCCATTCTCACGTGTACACGAAAATCTTTTTTGTGCGCAACAAGTTTCTGAACAAAATTCTCGTCTGATAAATGATATTGCAAACAGTTCTTGACTCGATATGCATAGAGTAGATGCGGTTAGTCATTAATAACTTCTGCGCGACGCCAGCTACGTTACTGGCCAGCAATGACCACCAATGGGTGCCTCACATTTCATTGTTATTCCCTCTTTTGTTTGTGGGTGCAGAGAACCTAAGATTATATTCTTTAAACATGCATCTCAAGAGTTTCGTTTATGGCATATCATAACTTGTGTTGTTATCAAAACCCATACATAGTATCAAGGCACAGGGCACAAGCAGATAACCGATCAGAAGCAATCCGCAAGCTTCCACAAGTTGCCACTTGAAAAGGGCTGATGATGGATTATTGGTACGTGTTGTGAGGCGGCTTTCAAGGATGTAGAATAGGACAGGCAGCAGCCAAGGCACACGAGACTCATTAATCCTGGCGGCAAACGAGTTGCCGGGACCTTCGACTGCCTTGCCACGACTCATTTGTGATAAAAACTTTCCGGCTTGATAAATTGCCCGGCATACAAGCATACATTCTCGCCTCTCTTACCACTTTGTTTTGGGCCAAATCCCAAACCGTGTAGAGGAAAGCCAGTGGCTATAAAAGGGCTTCCCACTTTTCGCCTTCAACTTTTTCGATAGATAAACACTTAACACGTTTTTGTCAGTAATTTAAATACTCTCCCTTCGGTAGACTATATATTTGCCAGCCATTCAATCATATTTATGTGGCATGGACCTGAAGCGTACTTCAGGTAAGGATTTTACACAGCCCTTTAGCGTTTTGATATGCAAATACTTTACACAGGATTTCTCCTCATTTGATGCATTGGTTACGTTGCCTTGTCTGTTTGACAGACTGCTACAGTCACGTCATGTTAAACTTATTGTTGGTTTGTTTTGTGCGAATGTCACGTTTTTGTTTTGATTACTTAATGCGATAAATGGGAACTTAAAGAGATGTCAGGAAGCTTTAAGCTTTAATGTTCCAAATGTATTTCTACAGAAAATATAAATTCGAATGCTTAATGCTGTGGTAACTATGTTGAAGGTCAGTCGGTGTCGCTATTACTGATGGGAGTGTCCTCAATGCTTCTGTTATCACAAGACCTTTTCTCATCCGAGTCCGTGTCACAAGATACTGAGTCTGATAGCGACAGTGATGTCCTAGCGGAACTTTCACCCGTACTTTGTGCCGACAGCGCTTCGTAATTTTCATCGTCATCCGAACCCTGATCTTCATTGCTGTCGCAATCGTTTTCGCACTCTTCACCTTGGTCCGATTCACAAGTATTGTCCTCTTCATATTCCGTATTAGAGGACACAGAGTTTGCAAGCGGATTAGAAGGACATCCCTGCTTGTGAGAATTATACACCCACTTCTATTTTCCTCAAGGAGTTTGCTTACTCACCAACAGAAAACTTCGGCTTCGGCTTAAGCTCCGAGCGTCATGCAGCTCCCTCATCAGTGCATTCCTCTCCATTGAGTGATACTCGCGTTGAAGATGACACTCGGACTGTAGTTCCCGATTCTCCTTGCGCAAGTAAAACATTTCGCTTAAGATTTGATGTTGCTTTTCAACTATAGTTGTCACCAGCTGCTCCAGATTCTCAATGGTAACCTCGTACTCCAGTAACTTCTTCTTAAGAAGCCAGTTTTCTGCCCTACAATCAGACAGATCGGAGGCGGACACTCCATTGTCGTATGAGAGTGGCACTAACGATTCCTTATCAACCCTAGAAAAATAGAGTGGTAGCCCCCGAGATGGTAATAAAAAAAACGCTCACTCGTTTGTGGGGCCTGGGAGTTGAGGAATGTCATCACCTGTAGCCAAAGGAACCGTCACAAGATCTTTGGGGATTTGCTCATCGGGCGTATGGAACTGGCAAATACACGACATTTTTTTTAAGTGACACAGTCGATTCCAATTGATTGGGTACACAGAGCTTACTAGTTTTAGTTCGAATTTAAGGAAGTCCCATATTACTCTACTTTCCCACTTGGTCGCATTGAAGTATACTAAACTAATCTAGACAGACTTTCCTCCCATCTTAAATGCTGATGCCCTCCTAAAGTAGACTATTAAATTAAAACTGCCTGGTCGGGGAGGGTGCCAAGGCAAGCCACATCCACGCAAGTATTTCACTTTACAGACTGAACCCCTCTCGCGCGCCCCTTAGCTCCTGTGCCAGGGCAGACTTTACGACTTGACATTTTCACACTTTGTTGGCAACGTTTTGGATGCTTCCTACACACTCCTTTCTGAGGGCCAGGGCAGCTGACTTTTTGGTCGCCCTTGCCGAGTCAAGTCGGTGTCGATGCAAGCTGCATGGACTGTCATTCGCCTGGGATCCGGAATGTGCAAATGTGTGGCTTCAGCTAAAGAGCAACTGGAGAAGTGTGGGAATCTCCTTTTTTGTGTGCGTCGGAGGATTGAAGTGCAAAATTGGTTTAAGTGTTTGCTAAATTGGCAGCAAAATGGCTTTTTCAATTTATACTCAACGTTTATGGGCGGGTCGGCAGATGGAGGAAGCTGTCCAAAAAGTTAAACCAGAAAAACTAAACATTTTCTTCTCCATATTTTTTGGCAACGGCTTCGTACCGCCGCCTAGCTGGATAATTGATATTTCGAACTGTTGTCCGTTTGTTGACTTTGGGAGTGCTTTGCGAAGTCAGAAGCCTCTGGCTGGTCACTGTTACACACCTATAAATTAACACGGCTCAAGACCCCAGCACACACCACTCCCAACGGTGGTTTCACACGCTTACTCTCGACGCTAAATGGTCTCTCATAGAACTGTATTCCCCCACACATATCATTTATAGTCCAGATAATTATGGTTTACACCCAAGCAACTTTTTTAAAACACATGTACTGGTGCTCGTATTTTACAGTCTATTTGCACCGACTTGGGGTCGGCAGAAAACCCAGTTGAAGTCGAATCGTAATCGTGATACCTAAACAACGCCAAATTACATACCAGAGGGCGCTACGCAAGACATGTTAACATAAATTTCTTGCGTCTCCTCAGTTTAAGGCTACCTCGCCTCTAAACCCGCCTCTAAACGATCAACCTTAAACTAGGCAACACATGCAAGCGCACATTTAAAAAGGCATAAGTCATACGTGGCTAATAAATTGATTTGCTAAAGTGGATTAGAGTTCATTGCTATGACATATACAGGATGTTCGGGCTGCGGTGCTGAAAAGTGATATTCGCTGTTGCTGGCCTCTTGTAGAAAAGCCAGCTTGGCCTTGATGGAGCCCCCTGTAAGTTCAACCTAAAGCCAACTATTTTTAACTCTAACTATGTGAGCATTTGGGGGAAAAGTCTTCTGCCCACGGAGAGAGGAATGAAATTATCGTATTCCCAAAACGCTCGGTGGACTCCTTCCAGGCTCAGTCGCACTTCGTACTGAGATGTTGGCTATGAAAAAGAAACGCTTAAAATGCCAGTTTGAAGTCTATTATTTGCTGGACACGAGCATATATTGATTGCATCGCAGCCGCCTTGGTCAGCCACAAGATTCAGGAAAGCAAATTGCTTCAACAAATACTCGTACTCCCGAAACGAAGAGCGCGAAGGAAAGGGGCTGGAGATGTGGATGATGATGCTGGTATGGTTGGCGGGAGGGGAATTTGCGGAATCACATGGTAATCGGTGCACTACGAAACAGAAACCAGAAATGTTAAAGCAATCGAAGCCAAGTTTTAGGAAGAGGTGTTCCAAACCCGTTTGCAGGCGCAAAGTGCAGATCCGTTGTGAGAGTTTGCAGAGAGCCTTCGGTTTCTTGGCGGCTTCGTGTAGTGCAGCATTTAGCGTCTTGATCGGTTTATCACGGATTAATTAGAGTTTGATAAATACGCGCACGCCGTGAGTATATAAATCATAGCAGCAGTGCAGGGCCAATGCGGCGCAGTTAGTCAGCAGAGAAGCATAGGAGCTGGCCCAATAATACAAGCCAAGGGAAATTTGCATATCCATCCATCCGCATGGAAAAAGTAGCAGTCAAATTGTAGAGGTAAACATGTTTTATTTTTGCACGCTTTGCTTTTTGATTTTTCGCCGCATTTAGCATTTTGCTTTGTTTTGGCTGTCGCTGCTTTTGACGTTGCCACACAAGCAGAATATTTTGAAAGGCAAGTGCACGGTAGGAAGTGGCAAGATGTAGGTAGGTAGGTAGCTAGGGTGGCTGTGCAAAAGTGCAAAAATATCTTTGAACATTTTTCTGTGTGAGAATTAATTATGAAAGAACGTCCTTTGAGATGCGCTTGACGGCCACGATGAGATGGCGACAGCCATCTGATGAACAGGAGCATTATGAATGCTAATTTCAGGTTATTTTTTGGGTTCGAATTTAAAATAGGGTTGATCGGGAGGGAGAAGGCCTTTTTGATCCCAAGGTGCTTTTGATTCTGATTGTGCGCCTGCTGCATGCGAGTGGGAATGCAATGGTTTTGGAGTATGAGAATGTCTGTCGGCCTTAAAAAAAATTAGATAAAATAGTGAACAGCTTTAACTCCTAAGATCCTTTATGAGGGCTATTTGGAAATGCATTCGTGTTTGATATTTTAGTTATTTCTTTTATTTTACCCATCCAGAGACCCTTAAATTCGGAAAAAAGTAGAACTCAACTTAACTGCTGATATTTCTGAGCTGAGTGCTCATTTTAATTTGCCTTTCACTGCCACATTAACGAGAATATGCCACGGGGAATGTCTTATGGTTTATTACCGCAAGACCCTGCCACTGCTAAGCAGCACACAACAGAAACTAGGATGGAGGTTATTATTATTCGACGACTACTCGGCACCATGATTGCTACCTTTTTGCTGCATTCGGATTGCATTCGCATTCGCCGGGCGACGTCTTTTATTCTTGCCCATGGCAGTGGCAAAAATGTTGACCACTTTCTGCATGGTAGAGTTTTTCACTCCACTTCAGCCTTTGCCGTCCACTGCCCTCCCTGTTTTTAGTTTCTGTCGCAGTGAAATTGCTCTCGAGATATCTTCGTTACGGAATGAATGACTACTTGGGACTGGTACTTTGCTCTGTGCCCAAAGTATTTGCGGTTTTTTCTTCACATCCTTTTGCACAATTATCCTGATTTCAATATTACTGCGTCATAAACAAAGGCGTAGTCTGACCTCTCCGGGAAAATGTGCGGGTAGAAGGAGGTCGAGTCTAAGGGTTGTACACAAAATTATTATTATTTGCTAGCTCAGGAATTTTCAGTTGTTCTTGAAGTTTCTTATCCCGGGCCAGGCATGTCTTTATTGTGACCATCTAAGTTTGTCTTTTGCATTTAGTTTGTTTTGGTGGCTCAGAAGGGATTGCAAATAAATAACAGGAAATTGTATTTCGAATTTATTTGTAAAGTATGGAATAGTTTGAATTTCCACCTTTTTATGATTCCTCTCAAAGTTCCCTCTTCTACTGCCCCTTCTACCACACCGTTTGAATGCTTCAAACCATCATTACAAAAATTGGCTTCATTTGTTGAAAGTAGCGCCCTTAAGAAACAAGAAATAGCCCAAAGCAATGAGGACGCAGCCTTCACTTGCATGCCATTTTCCAAGCAATAAAATCGGTACAACAAACCCCCCTCCATTTCAGAAACAGCGTGCTTTTCTACTTACAATGCACACGCGTCGACATTTATCAAAAATTCAACTGTCATTTTGGCAATCGTAAAGCGTTTTTAAATGCTTCGCTTTTTGTACAAGGCAACTGAACATTCATAAGCTTCAATGCTAGAGAAGGATCTACTAATGCCCAGATCTCCATTACCCCCGAAACCCGCAAAAGTACACAGCCCAATAACCCAATATTTGGGAAATTGGCTGACGGGACTTGCAGAAAAAGGAGGGAAGCATGTTGAGGGTGCAATCCGCTCACACCACTTACTTGCGAATTTTCCGACCTGCGAAATTTTCCACAAAGCACTCAATGGGGCACGTGACAGTTGTCGTGTGTGTGAGCCTGCAAAACGGGGTTTGGTTTCGCATTTGCCAGTTTTCCGCGAACGTGTGTAGCTGTCGTAGTCAAGTGTGTAATTTGCGGTAGTGATTTAACAGGGTTTGAATAGATTACTTCATTTAGATTTGGTGGAATACGGTGTGGGGTAAATGGAAAGTGTGGGTACAATGGCGCTAAATTAGATGTTAACTTCTGTAATAAGTTTTTTTTTTGCCAGGAAATTAACTTTGAGATTAATTCTTGATGCCTGTTTTTAATTTCGCTGGTTGTAAACTGAAAAAATGTTTTCGATGCCGCCACATAGTTGTATCAGTAAAGTCTCAGTTCTTTATTTTCATTTATTTTGCAATTAAAATCAAATTCCTTGCATCCTTTGACTTAGCCGCTTCTACATTTTTCCTCTGCGATATTCTCAGAGGAAATTGCCTACCGAAAACTCAGAGGGGAAACCCTTGGACTAGAACAAAAAATACAAGTCTTGGATAAAAATAAAAGACAGCCCATGAAGCAAATTGCGGATTTTGAATCCTGGCTTGTCCTGTGGACTCAGCCGTATTCGTATTTGCATGGCACAGTTGGCATCAAATTATGAAGTAAGTAAGAGAGTACTCCATGCATTAAAAACCTTTTAATTTGCTAAATCGCCTTGCCAGACATCGTCTGCAGAGCCGAGGTCGGGGCTGCCCTAGCCGTCGTTGTTGAATCCCATCGTGGATAAGCGGGCGGAAGCGGATGACGCTGGGTCTGTGCACATTTTTGAGATTTCTAGACGCCTAAGAGGGCCGCCCAGCCTACAACCAGTCCGAATCTCACATAGACACTTGTGCCAGCGATTCTTTTCGTTCTTTTTGGAGCTGGGTAAAGTTGAATAAGCCATGCAAACACTAGAAAGCACCGAGACTGCTTGAGTGTACTTTCATCTGC